CAATTCGCAACAGATGGGATAAGCGAATTTTAAATTGCTGAAATGATTTGAAAGATTGATCGCAGTTTTATTTTGGGAAAGCCGAAGGTGAAGGATCTTTAGGGATCGAATTATATGGTCCTTCGTTTAAGAGTTTAGTGACACCATCGATGTAAGTGTTCTTATCCATGACGCTATCTGGCCACCTTTGTCGGCCTTGGGAAATGGACAATATCCGGGTTAGAATGAATCTCGCGCATTGTAGCTTTCTCTCGCAGTTAGATTTGGTTTCAAAGGTTTATTGAATTTCACATTATGAGCGAAGATGCCTAATCATTTCTTTCTGTGAATCTGAAACTTTACTGAACTTGAAAGCTTTTTCGATAGGAGCCAAAATCTTTGGAATCGAGGGTTTACAGGTTTGTGAGAAGTTAAAATTATATTTGAATTCTCACTCGTTCTTCTAAAGACTAACATTAGAAATATTAACTATTGGCTTGATGTTTACAATGGGAAGATTTTTGAACTACTTGGACTGGAAGACTGTAAAAGAAGTTTTTCGAATTTAACTGCAAGGGTTTTTTATGACGGTTAACTGCATTCTCCGTTCTAGACCAAGACTTTTGTTCAAGGGCAGTGAATTTTGGATATGTTTTAGCGAGTTCCAGATGAAGCTTATAGAGTTCATTCAATTTGGACAATGTGTTGACGTATATCCCTTATCACGGACGAAATAAAGCAAGTTTGCAATTTAAAAGAATTCTGAAACGCGACTCGAAGGTTTTTGATTAGATTTGATTTGAATAAAATTGGGGATCAATTTTTTACATTTACATTTAAGTAAAAAGTCAAGATGATTTAGGAATTTTTGCCGTTTCAGGCGTAATTTAGTGAAACGATTAACGGATGAAGGCATGATAAACAATGCAGAAAATCAAACTAAATTAACTGAGCAATAATAAAGATTATGGTTCGGTAAAACCATCGAAACTAGTCCTGTGAAAATTTTGTAAATTAACGCTGATTTTTGTTGTTTGACTTCTGAATTAGTATTTATTCGGCGTGTTATTGTGTCTTAATTATAGAAGCTCCAAACAGGCTTATTACATTTTGCTTTCTTTTTGCACGTGTGTGTGGCCGCCATTTTTGTGATTGTAGGAGTTTCGGTGAGTACATTTTTTGCAATTTTCAAGTTATGTTTATGTTTTGTACTTTTGGATATTGTGCTTTGTTGTCTGATTTCATGCATTTTGCTTACAAACATTTTGTTTTATTCAATTTCAGTGAGGGATTTTTCTGCTATTTTTGTGTACTGTGTACTTTATTATTGCTCAGTCAGTTAATTTAGTTTGATTTTCTGCATTGTTTATCATGCCTTCATCCCTTAATCGTTTCACTAAATTACGCCTGAAACGGCAAAAATTCCTAAATCATCTTGACTTTTTACTTAAATGTAAATATAAAACATTGATCCCAATTTTATTCAAATCAAATCTAATCAAAAAACCTTCGAGTCGCGTTTCAAGAATTCTGTTAAAAATTGCCTTGCTTTTTCGGTCCGTGATAAGGGATACACGTCAACAATTGTCCAAAATTGAACATGAACTCTATAAGCTTCATCTGGAACTCGCTAAAACATATCCAAAATTCACTGCCCTTGAACAAAAGTCTTGGTCTAGAACGGAGAAATGCAGTTAACCGTCATAAAAACACCCTTGCAGTTAAATTCGAAAAACTTCTTTTACAGTCTTCCAGTCCAAGTAGTTCAAAAAAATCTTCCCATTGTAAACATCAAGCCAATAGTTAATATTTCTAATGTTAGTCTTTCAGAAGAACAAGTGAGAATTCTAAAATATAATTTTAACTTCTCACAAACCTGTAAACCCTCGATTCCAAAGATTTGGCTCCTATCGAAAAAGCTTTCAAGTTCAGTAAAGTTTCAGATTCACAGAAAGAAATGATATTAGGCATCTTATCGCTCATAATGTGAAATTCAATAATAAACCTTTGAAACCAAATCTAACTGCGAGAGAAAGAGCTACAATGCGCGAGATTCATTCTAACCCGGATATTGTCATTTCAAAGGCCGACAAAGGTGGCCAGATAGTCGTCATGGATAAGAACACTTACAATCGATGGTGTCACTAAAAACTCTTAAACGAAGGACCATATAATCCGATCCCTAAAGATCCTTCACCTTCGGACTTCCAAATAATAAAACTGCGATCAAATCTTCGCAAATCATTTCAAGCAACTTAAAACATTCGCTTATCCCATCTGTTGCGAATTGTGCCAGATTATATGCTCTTCCCAAAATTCATAAAAGTGGTATTCCTTTCCGCCCTATTGTATCAAATTTAGGTACTGCCTCGTATCCATTAGCTAAATATTTAGTTTCTAGATTTTCCACTCTATTAGACAATAACATTTACACCATAAAAAATTCAATAGAGTTTGTAAGAAAGGTTAAAAACATTTCTCCTCGTATTTTACTCATGGTTTTCTTTGATGTAAAATCATTATTCACCAATGTCCCAGTGGAGGGTGCATTAAGATGTCTAGAAACCAGACTTCGCGAATTTCATTTCTCTTGCATCGAAATTGATGAGCTAATTTCTCTCACTCAACTCTGTTTGAAACAAACACATTTTGTTTTCCAAAATAAATATTACAAGCAAAAACTGAGGGATTAGCCATGGGAAGCCCCCTCAGTCCCATCCTGGCTGATATCTACATGCATTATTATGGAATCAAAATTGTTTGAAACTTTAAACTTCCCGGCATGGTTCCGCTACGTAGACGATACTTTTACCCTGTTTGAAGGTAATAAAGATGATTTAAACAGAGTTCTTTCAACAATGAATTCTATTGATCCTGCTATTCAGTTCACTTTTGAACTTGAGACTTGCAATTCTCTTCCGTTTCTCGACATTCTGGTCACACGTAACACATCCAACTTCAGTACTACAGTTTACCGTAAACCTTCATCGGTTTGCCTTCCACCACACTTTAAATCATGTCATCCGACTAAACAAAATTTAGCTTCATTTTATTCCTATGTTTTCCCGTGCTCTTCAAGTTTGCTCCTCCAAACTAGCCCTTGATGAAGAACTAAATTATTTAAAAGCAATAGCTATTGACAGGGGGCTTTTCACCCAACATTATTAATCAAGCAGTTTAAAAAATTCTCATCTCAACACACTAAAAGCCACACTTATTTTAGGGAGATTATAAAAATTCTGTTGTCATTCCCTTCTTTCCATCAATTAGCTATAAAGTTGCACATATTTTGCAGAAATTTAACTTTCGGGTTGTTTACTCTCCCCATCAATAAAATTCCAACTTCTATACTCAAGGACCCCATTCCGGATATGAATTCCTGGGGTATTTATAGGATTTCCTTGCCAGTGCGGTTTAATTTACATTGGCCAAACTAAGAGAGCCTTGAAAATTTCGCGTCAAAGAAACATGAGGCATATGTTAGAAAAAAGGAAACACAGAAGTCTTCTGTTGCTCAACATTGTTTGGTCCGAAAATCACACTTTCAATTTTTCTGCTGCCAAAATTATACAAAAAAACATCTTCCATTGGAGAACTGGATTTTCTAGAGGCATTTCACATTCATAAAAATCTTTCTGTTCTAGTTAACGATCCTAATTCCAATCCAAATTTGCCTTCGGCTTTTAGAGAAATTATGTTTTAGTTCTGATTTTGCCAACAGATGGCGCCACTTGCTTATTCTTGTCCAGGCTTTCTTATCTTATCTAAACATTATTTCCTATCTTGTTCATTTGCGGTTTTGCAGCTGAAGATGATGGTTCGGTAAAACCATCGAAACTAGTCCTGTGAAAATTTTGTAAATTAACGCTGATTTTTGTTGTTTGACTTCTGAATTAACATTAACTTAGTAAGCATAGCTTTGTTCATTATCTTTTAATTTTGATGACTAGTGTCATCAAAATTAATATTTAAAAGTTTATTAAAAGTTTTAAATGTATAATAATTTTCAAAAGCTCCAATTATCTTGTCAATATAATTTTTACCTTTTTTATTTAAACCAAAAATATTAAACTTCCCCAGCTTGCATCATCAGCAGCATTCAATAAAATAGCTACTTTCACTTCGGCAGATTTAGTATTACTATCAGACCCATCATATTAATTTGGAATTTTTCTACTTTCATATTTGCTTTAAAACTTAAAGTATTCAGTGGCTTTGATCTATCCATGTTTAATTTAAGACTTTATATAGTCTAAACGTAATATATTTATTTGCCACTCCAAATTAAAGTAAAACAGTGTACCTAGCAGTCAGAAAGAGTTTCCATTTAGATGGACAAACAATGAGCAATATTCAAACTGTCTTCAGTGTTACTGATTATCTATTATTGAATGGTTATTCATCAAAATGCTTTGATGAACTGGGCCATATAGCATAACTGTGAGTTATTAATGTGATCAAGTAATATTATACAAGAAGAGTTAAACCTTCTATCTACACCACTGCTAACTACGAATCTATACTGCAGTTACATCTTTTATGTTACAATTACAGCTGTATGTATGTATGCAGGAACAGCAAACAGAATTAAACGTATGACAGAAATAAGGTATATTTTATGCACAGATTTGAGAATAAAACTGGTCTCATTAAATATATTCATAAAGAAGTACATTACCATTAATTAAGTATTCCGTAATAGGTGTATGCCACTAAACACACTTACAGCAGAACTAAGAAAATAATATTTTTTATATGTTGGCTTACATTTAGAGCTAGTTAAATTAAATTTTGAAGGTTATTAAATTAATTCTTTAGCTTTATTTTTATGAAGATTAATTTAAAATTATTTAAGAGCTAAACTAAAAACTTTATTAAAATTTCCTGTTTTATTAATAAGCCTTCTTTATGAATAAATTATTCACTATCATGTGTTGAACATATATATCAATAAGTATGAGTAATAGGAATGTTTTACCACAAAAATTATGATACGTATACCATTAACTATAGCTATGTACCTGGCAGAAGAAGTACCTCCAGTATATGTTGCCTTAATTAAGATTGCATCCAAATCTGCTAGTGTCATAAGAAGATGCTCTCTGGTTGCTGGCTGGCCATCAGATCGAAGCCATGAAGTCTGTATTATCAAAATTAAGATAGCATTTAATGATTATTTCAGACTAATGAAAACAAATAAATTACTCCGATTTTAAACTAAAGATATTAGGTTCATTCTTGCAACCTTTTTTAATTAAGGATACCATACATTTTTTAATTGAACAAGAGAATGGAATATTGTTGAAATAAACGTAAATTTCTATTCAACTCTTGTCATTTGAAATGCAGAATACTGTACAAGCCTATAAACTTTATTTTCCATACTGTCTATATAAACTCAAAATACTGGTTGAAAAGTTCCCCCCCCCCCAATTCAATACTCCATACTGTTGATATGATGTAAAATCTCACATCACAAAAGTATATTAAAAACACTTTACAACCAATTTGAATTATGTAGTGAAACCCAGTTTCCCTTAAAAACTGAAATAGACTAAAACGAATATTTTTCCAGATTCAGTTGTCAAGCAACATTTCTTGAACTGTTGAAAAATATTCAATCAAGTCTTTGAAATCTACAAAATGCTCCTGAATATTTTTGCATATTTTTCTTTAATTCTGGTGTTATTTTCATTCAAGATGCTTTTTGTAAGAGGGAAGGAATTGATATCTTCCTTTTCTATACACTCGAATCAATATGAAAGTTTCCTTTTAAACTAAGACTCTCATTTGCATCAAACAACACATCTGCATCATTACAGAAATTTGCATCAAACAACACATCTGCATCATTACAGAAATTTGCATCAAACCTATGGGATATTTCCTTGCAAACTGCACATTCATTTTGTTCATTTTGCTAAAAATGTCATCTAAATATGCCAATTTGCATACCTAGGTTTTATCTTTTACACAAGAGCCTCCAAAAAGTTATGATGTATCAGAAACACTGCTACATCTTCACCCAATTTAACCAAACATAACACCGTTTTGCTCAGTAAAACTGCTTTACTTCAGTATGTACCAGAAGAAGTCAAGGTGAAAAGCCACCATGAATCCCACCTTCACACATTATTTTGAAAGGCCTGCTTTTGAGAGGTCGGAATTTTAAAAAATTATTATTTCTATATAGGCTAACATATGACTCTGAAAAATGCAATGGCGGCTGCTGTATTTCTTTGCTTCAAATTTAGGAATTGCTCCAGCATTGTGACCCACCATTGCTTTTGTACTATTAATGCATATCTGCATAGTTATCTCATCTTATTTCATTTGATGAGCAGAATTCATTCGAAATATTAAATATTTTGTCTGCTGCAAGTTGACTGATAGTAGTCTGCAAAAAAGAAGCTCCTCTTGATACTTTTATGAGTAAGCATGAGGAACAAAATTACTAACCTGCGACATCAATCAGTTCATCCATTTGCAGCATGAATTTGGTATCTGATGCAGTTGATAACCATCTCTTTTCATCATCAGCCATATCCCTGAATTCTCAGGCAATGGTGTTATTTGACAAACGTGAATATCCAATAATTATAATACGTATATACTATAAAATACCTAAACGTATATGAGCCTATTATCTGAATTTATTAATGTTAATTTTGTGACCACTTGACACAAATATTAAAGTTAGGTCCTTTTTGAAATTTAAACTAACATCCACCTATAGGATAATGAAAAAAAGAAAAATCTTGCAATATTTCTGTCATTTAAACTGCTAATGCCATGCAGAGATCTGTTCACGATTAATCTTCACTTTTTTCTAAATAGTCTTTTGAATGCCTTTTTCTGCTTTGCTCAAATACCTCATTATTGTCTTCTTGGACTTGCCAGTTTTTATTGCCATTTGAGAAAATATTCCATCTAGGTAATACTGATAATCTAAGTTATAAGCTCTCAATTTTTATTTTTACTTTTATAATTCTGTGAACAAAATTAAACACTTTTATTTTTATACTGCAAATATAATAAGCACTGTTTATAGATGAAATATCAGTGATAGAGTTGTACATTTTATCATTAATTACTGAAAAAAATTAAATTGTAATTGATTGAAATTAAGCTACTGCAATGTCAAGCATTGTTACACCAGGTGTTTTATTTCTTTTTCTTACTCCATTATTCCCGTTTTCCCAGTAAGTTCTGATAATTCTTTAACTCATTTTTAACCCTCTGGGTGGCCAGAGTTTTCTCTAAGAAAGCACAAATTTCTCAAAACTACTATGAAAACAAATTATTTTTTTGATTTTAATGCAAAACCCTCTCCTGGTATTTCATACCTGGATTCGTTTTCTTTTGATATATTGCCTTAATTTCGTTGACATATTTTAATATGCACGTATATATACGTTCTTACAAATATCACAATAAATATTCCAGGCCGTATATATATATATATGGGCTTGCCGCTTAGAGGGTTAAAGGCCTGCAATTCCTAGTATCAAATTGTTTTAGAATTACTACTCTCAAATTCCCAAACTAAATAAAAGAATACAATAGATATTTTAAACACAACCACTGGCTTCAGATCTGTGGAATATTTGTTTGTAAGAACTATGTCCTAAAGAGATTCCAGATCTCTCTCTTTTAAAATTTGAAAATGTTTTTCCAATTCTTCATTAGACGAAATCACAACACTTTCCTGGAAAACAATAAATTTTAGTCCAATGAAAGTATTCAAACATCATGCCTGTGGATAATATTTGCTATCATCATATACACCAAAGTGTCTCATCTGAGCTAGAAGCTAAATTAAGAGTTTTTTTCCCTTTCACACAATTTTTGAAGAACAATTTGAAACTGGAAATTTTAACTATTATAATTCAAATATTTTATTACTGCTTACAGAGTGTTAAATCCTCACTGCCATAAAAATTTACACATTAAGAAAGATTCGTCAGATTCGAATCAGAATTTTATATATGTGAGTGCAATAATGAGATGAATAAGTGACCACAAAATTAAAGTAAAAATATCATTTATTAAGAGAAAACTGCAAATGAATGGATATTCTACCATGACGGATCACATCTAGCATAAATACATGATGCAATCAGTACGCATTCAAGCATACATGCCCTGTATACTACCCTGCATCATCAGATTCTACAGTTGATGTGCATTTCCAGATGAATCAAATTCCTAGGTTGCCCAACTTGTAAGATATTTTTTCTTCCTATTCACATACCTTTATGGTGTAATTGAAGCATTTCTGGCTGGCATTTGAGAGGTCTGGAGCTCAAATACTGGTTAGGGTACATTTTTTGTCTCTCCTGCTTCAAAAAACCTAAGTGGCACCTGAACTAAAAAAAAAAAAGTTGTGGATGATAATTTTTCCCCAACAAGATTTTGGGATTGGACTCCTTCCCTTCCTCCAGCCACTCTTTAAGTGAGGGAGAATGCAAAGTATTTTCTCCTTACCTCATGCCTTCCTAGTGTAACTGGAAGCACATATTGCTGGCAATCAAGAGATTTGAGTTCAAATCCTCACGAGCTCACATTTTTTTACATCTCCTTTTTCAAGAAATCTAACTCCATATACTTGCCATCCCAAGTTATTGTAGATCTGCTTGATCAGTGACAAATCTTCAGAACGAGATGGGTGATAATGTGGGAAAGGCCTTCCTGTGGCATTTTCCCTGCATGTAGCTAAGCAGCATCCTAATGCAAAATAATACTTGCAAGCTCTGAAAACAAGTGCAGCTGAAGTATTTCATGAGCATGCTGCCGGGATGTCAAGGTGCTGTAGATCTATATATATATTTGTGTGTGTGTGTGTGTGTAATGATTTAACTGTAGATAACTTGATGTTAGAAGATAGCTTGAAATTGTTACATAGATGGAATGACTGACTTGCAGACAAACATGCTACATGCAGTGAAAATGCCACAGGAAGGCCTTTCCCACATTATCACCCATCTTGTTCTGAAGATTTGTCACTGATCAAGCAGATCTACAATAACTTGGGATGGCAAGTATATGGAGTTAGGTTTCTTGAAAGAGAAGATGTAAAAAAATGTGAGCTCATGAGGATTTGAACTCAAATCTCTTGATTGCCAGCCATATGTGCTTCCAGTTACACTAGGAAGGCATGAGGTAAGGAGAAAATATTTTACATTCTCCCTCACTTAAAGAGTGGCTGGAGGGAGGGAAGGAGTCCAATCCCAAAATCTTGTTGGGGACACATGGTTTATTCCTGGACATTCTTTACACATCTTCAATCGCACATCATTAATTTCTTAGGATATCTATTGATTTTCACAGCATTATGGGTGCTATAAGTATTCCACAATTTTATATACACATATTATATCTTTAAAACAATGGATGAAAGCAGCAAAGCGAGTAATTACCTGTTTATGAAGTGACAGTGAGAGAGAAAAGAATGTATATTTTCCAGCTAGGAAATATATAATGTCAAAATCCTTTGCCTGAACCTTGAACAGCTACTGGGCAAGAGTTTTCACAATGCAGAACATTTCATATGAAATTATGTAAGCAAAGCAGTACAGATTCCCAGACAGGGATGTAGCCAAATTACGCATTAAGCATTATTGCCAATTAAGTTAGGAATTTGTTAGTAATTTTCCTTCACATTTACTAACTTTAGCAATAGTTCTTTAATTCCTGTTTTTAATTTGGTTTCATGCCCACTTTTTCTTTGAATCTAAAGTGCCTCATCTGAAAATTAATACACTTCATGTCTCTTATATAATTAAGCTGCAGTGTAAGAGCTCTCAGCTAAACAGATTAAAGAAATAATTTACTACATTCTAGTACTTTGCTGTTGTGTACCTTTTTTCTTTGTTTGCTACTGTTTAGACATATTACTTAGCCTTTGACTTTAAATTATTTAGCCTGCTGCTCATTTGTCTAAAAAATGTAATCCGGATAAAATTGTGGGATGCATAGTGCCGCCATAATGATGAAGTGTAATGAAAATGAATATTTATTCTAAGAATCCGTTATCAAAGAATAAAATTATGTGAAGAAAATTGGCTATGTCTGTCTTAGAGTGTCATTCTTCTAACTAAACAGTAAAGCTTGCCCAAATTATTATAGTAAAAAGAACCACCATCAGTCCATTACAGCTATTTCCAAACCATCCCATTATATATATGCAATTAGGAAAAGTCATAAAACTTCAGCAGCCTGAGCCCCCAAATAAAGAAATAACAATTGAAAATAAATCTGAAACTATTAAAATCATTGTAGTCATCTTTCAAGAGTTAAGTAGATGCATTTCGGATTTAAAAAACAATGAAACAGCATCTCAGATAATAAATATTCAATTATTGGTAGTATACATACCTCATACATTGGGACTGAAATAGAGATCAGTGAAGAAGGACGGATTAAATCTGGATATCTGTACATTAACACAATACCATTTCCCTAGAAAAATTAAAAAAAAAAAAAAAAGCACTAGAGTATCTCAAAATAGTTTCCACACTGTATGACAAAGGAGATAAAATACTAACACAATTAATACATTACCATAATTTGGACATCTGGATCTAAATTTGGATCAGCACGACTTCCTGGTACATACATCACAGTATAATTCAATCTTCCTCCATAAGCTGTGACCTAAAAGCAAGAAAAAATATATTCTTTAAAACATTTGTATAACATAAAATCAAAATAAGTTGAATGCAGTATTAAACAGAACATTTGAAGTGATATGATCTCAACATGATCAATGATCTGATCTGATATGATTTGAAATTTGATATCAATAGGTTTCTATTAAAATTTAAAATACAGTTTCTGAAATACAAATAATACAAAACAATTACAATATATACATATTCTTTCTAACTAAATACTTCACTCTTTAACTGGTATAGTTGGATTCTACATGCAATAAAACATTTTGGAAAGAGTTTTCTAATACACAAATAATTACTCATACAAATGAAACTTTAGAAAATGAAAAATAAAGTTACATAATTTCTTTGTAAGATAAAAATATGCTTAACATTTTCAAAGAAACTAATGAAGAAAGCAACAACCATTTGACATTCCCCAGATAAATAAAAATAACATCAGCAAACAAAATACAAATCTTGAGCCTTTAATTTAAAGGACTTGAATTTCAAATTGACTCTTTGATGGAATATGGTAGAAAATTTCACTTCCCAAGGCCACATTTTTGTTTTATAGAAACTTCCAAAATATTCACAAATTGATAGAATACAGATCTATTGGATGCAAGAAAGAATTTATAAGGTATTTCTCCTGCCTCACCCACACACTCGACACATATTCGAGAGGCCCGTGATTCGAATCCCAGCGAGGGCATTGCTCATATTTCATCTCTTCTGCTTTAAAATAACCTAAAGTCTCTACAAATTTCCTAGTTTAACTGCATGATGCAAGTACACAAATGTTTCATTTTACACACTCAAACAGAAGGCCAAGAGTAATACAAATTACATCATGACTGAAATCAAATGACCCAAAAAAGCAAACAAGTTTATACAATAATAGTCTGAAGTCTCAAATATGTAATATATGACTCAAGATTGGATATTTGATTACAAGAGCATCTGTTTGCTGATTGGCCCTGTGTTAAGTGCACACAAAATAAAAGATGGCTTTAGCACTGCTTACTATTGAGGATTCCTGAGTTATTCTGGTATTTACATGTTAATGGAGAAAAAGCCAAAATTCGCTAAATAACTGCGAACAGTTGCCAACTTCGATACCATTAGGCAAATTAATAGCTTCTGCAGCTGTATGCTTTAGCTAAATTTTAAGAATGCCTATAAGCCATAGTTTTAAGAATGCAGTTTTTTCTTTTTCAGAGTTTATAGTTTAATTAGATCTGTGGCATCTACAAACCAATGAAAATAATGCTATTAGTTTCTTACAAGAGTATAAAATATTGCTCAATAGCCATCAATGTTGCAATTTGTGCACTTCCAATAACTTTTTTTAAGTTAAAAATATGTTTAATATTTAAAAAAATAATGATAGTGAAAGTACCAAAATCTTATGCTATTCCGAAGATAAGTAAAATTAATACAGTCAAAAGTCGTTAATTCGGACACCCATAATCCGCACCTCAAAGCTACAAACTTTCTGCGCATGCGTCACGCTGACGTATGCACATAAGACCTTTACGGCTGCGCGCATATGCGTGTGCGCATGCACATAATACGTTTACGCATGCACATTTAATGTATAACGGATGGTATAAGCTAAAATTATCTATTTCAGTTAATGTTGCAGATTACGTTTTTCCTTAATCTTCGAATTGGATCCGGCTTATTATTTTTTGCAGACTGTTAGAGCAATTTTATAAAAGTAAGCTTGAACTTTCGATTACGTCAAATAGAATTTCCGATGCTGGAGCTCCTAAAGGATCTACAAAGCGAAAGTATGTTTCGATGTCCATCAAACAAAAAGTGGAATTGCTGCAAAAAATGGATAAAGGCATATCCTTTGTTTCTCTAACCATTTTGAAATCTGTTTATCAATTTCACGCTGCTCTATGGCAGGGGGAGGGGAAACGCCACGGCGTGCAATGAATTGGAAGTTGATCTGTCAGCACTATCCTTATCTTCAGGGAAGATGTTTTTATTTTATTTGGCTTTTAATTCCTTACTAAATGTAGTATTTCATCTCGATGTACTCCGTCTTTGATATGATTTAATTAATAGAGTGAAAAATATCCTTATAAATCATTGGCTTACCTTATCCCCCAAAAATGATGATGGCATTTTCCAGTAATATGTTTGAGCTGGATAAGAGGCAAAGTTTCTGAAAACAAGCTCTCTGTTTCTAGCATCTACTTGCAAATTTTCAGTTATAACAGAGCTTCTCAAACTGTTGGTTAACACTACATCCTGTGAACTGCTTGTAAAGCTCAAAACAATCTAAACAAAACAATATAAGTCATATTAAACTGAATGTAATGAAGGAAATGAATATGTATTTACACACGTTAAACAAATTCAGAGTAATACAGCTTCAATTTAATTTTTCTATGCTAGTATGTAACATAAATGAGGCATAAATCTTGAGTGCACTTTACTACTGAAAAGCTAACTCGACCAAATTAAATAATATTTTAAGAAAATTAAAATATAAAAAATTAATATTAAAATACATTGAAACTTTCCTAACTACTCTTAGTTAAGGATGAGTTTGATCTTCTTTTGAGGGGATAATCTTAAACAAATGATATTTCAGTACTGATATTTATTTATGTTCACAGAAATACTTGTCACTTTTACAGATAGTCATTTATGAAAGAGGTAATCATCATGACAGGTTTTACTAAAAAATTATCAGTCACACATTCTGAGATCACCTTCCTCTACATGTAATGGATACATATTAATAAAATAAGATAGGGCTTCTGAAATTATGTGTTATGTAAAAATAACTGAGGATTACAGAAAACATTTTATTTATCAATAGTTAAGAAACTAAAGATTTCAGCCACATAAAACATATTACGTATACCCTGTGCATAACGTTATCTGATAAAATACCTCTGCTATGCTTCCTTTATTAATTTTTGCGACATACTTTTAATTCTTTTTTAACTCAATTTCTTTTATTTTTTTTAAAGGCCAATAAAAAGTGTTATAAATTACAAGTGTGCTGAGTGATTGGGAAAAAAAATTAGGCAAAAATGTAAATGAGACTAAAATAAGCAACTTCTATAATGGAATATGTGCATGAAAATGGCATACTCAGGTTGATACACAGTGTTGTTGAGCAGCAGATAAAAGTGTTCTGATGGTATTATTTGTCTTTCCCCAAACAAATTTCAAGTAGCATGCATTGCTACATGAACACGGAACCTCATTAAAATGCATTTTACCTATGGGGCTGCAGGTGGAAATAAAGCAGTGGCTCAAAGGAGGCACTTGGGAATCGATCTCCCTACATCCTTTGAGTAGCTACTCTGTTTTAGCTTCCCCATCAGTGGGACTGGCCATAAAATTTAACCATAGGTGGGCTGCGCCTTTATTTGCCATCTATCACCAAAAAAAAATTAGTCGAAATTGTTTTATGAGAAAGTCTGCCCAAAATATTCATAGCTCTTCTACTCTGAAATATAAGAGTTTCAATGCAATGGTCTGTGAAACATGCAATGTGTTAAGCTCCGATTTGGATAATTGCAAAGTGCGTACAAAAAGGATTGACTACTGCAATTTACGTGTCCTTGGAAAGAGTTTGCCGACAGAAAGGTTTTGATGCAAGAATTGGAATTCTACAAAAGTCTTTACAGAAGAAACAAGAAGTCAGTTTCATGAAGTTTGAAAATTTGATTCACAACTACATAATAATAAGAAAATTGCATGGTAAAAGCAATTTTCTTATTATTATGCAACTGACTCAAATTTAGAGATAGCTGATTTTTGCTATATGACTGTAGAACAGCATGGTAGTATAAATTTTCATATATAAACTGCTAAAAAGTATTAATTTTATCATATGGTATCATAGCCTTTTATAAATTCTTCAGAATTACATTTATTTTTAAATTTATTTAATTGGACATTTTTTATTGTTGAAAAACTCAATTTTTAATAATAGATTAAATAGCACATGCATACTATTTGCACCAACAACAGTTCATTAAAACAGTTTAAAATAACATTGATCATAAAAAAATTGTTCCGCATATAATAAACAGTTCTCACACTTCATTTATTAAAACATTTAATTCTTGTTATCAATCTTCCTAACACTTTTTAAGCAACAACAATTACAAAAGAGTAAAGACATCAATTTTTTTTTTAAATTATTACATGCTCTGCCATTAGGCACTACATGGAAAGGGAGGGATGCATCTAAAGGACTTTTAGGAAAAACTGGCTCTTATCCATGTTACACATAAGAAAAAACCACAAAAGTGCCCATGCAACCAGCCTATTTGCTGGGACTCGAACCTTGGACGGAAGTACTGATGTTCAGTGACTTTTACAGCTAAGCTGCTAAGGGGCCCACATCAGTATATTGACATCAAAGTTAGAGACAACATGTGCAACAATCAAAATAGATACAGAATTATAGCAAAGCACCTAAGTACTATCCAAAGACAGATTTCATGTTTTGATTTGACAGTTTTCATTTTCGCACCTAGACCTGCAATCTGTGCTAAATTTTCACAAATATCATCAGTGTCAAAAACAAAGAAGTCTAATAAATCCTCAATCAGTTTAATAAATAAGCATTCTATAAATACTATACATACCGGTACTCCATCCTTAAATAAAACTTATCACCATTTAAACAAACTTGAAATTAGGGACATAAACCAAGAATTCTTAAAGACAATCTTCAACTCCCAAATCTTAATAAGCAATTTATTCGAAAACTTCAATAAGCTTAATAAGCAATTTCTCTAAAACTGCTATAGATGTTGACAATTCGTCTAACACTGATCCTTATTTGGATATTGATTCAAGCTTCTACAAAGAAGAAAAAATATTCATCCTCTATAAAAAGTGTACATATTTAACTAAAAGCAAATACAACAGTTGTTTTTGCTCCCTCAAGAAGAAAGAGGACAACTGCTAATTGCACTACTGGCTTTAAAATCAATTGTATAATCAGCAGGGCCGAATTTACGTATAAGCTACACAAGCTATAGCTTAGTGCCCCCACTTTCTTGGCAGTCCTAAAAAAATTTAAATATATTATAAATAATATTTAATTGTATTATAACAGACTTATAAAGGGCCCCATATCTCAAATAGCTTATCAAGTCTAAATCTGGCTCTGATTAGCAGACCCTCATTCTCACACATCAACACCAGTAAAAGAAACATCTGAAAATATGAAATCAGTGACTGCAAATCATTAATAAAACATATTTGCAAGTCATTCATTCTTCTCTAAAGCCAACATTATTAATATATCTTAAGAACAATAGCTCAAGTGTAAAAAAACTTGCAAAGGAATTCACTTTACCAAATACTGGCATTCAAGTAATAACTATACAATGAATTCAAAAGGGAGACCTCCCTGTGGTTTGCAACTCTGACCTAAATAAACTGAAAACCACACTTAACTCTGATAAAGCACTTTCAGTGGTAAATATCAAATAGCCAATCTTAGCATGCCTTAAAGCAGCTATACATAGTATCCCACTAGAAGTGCAAAAACAAGAAAACGAATTAGTATTAGTATCAGAACACAGTTTAAACCTTTCTGGATGGGCATTCCATACCTGAATTCCCTACTAACGTCTCTCATAGTCCCACCTATGTATCACTGGAGAATGTGCTTAAGGGGTGGGCGATGTATATGTGCATTTCAAGAAAAATATTTCTAAAGACCACTAGATGGATCCTGTGTTCAATACTTTTGAACCGAACATAGTTTTAAGACTTGGACCTTTAGTTTGATCACATTCTGCCTAACTTTGATGTCAGCTGGTGCTAGGAAGGAGGGAAAGTGTAATGTAAAAAAACAGAGCTTGGCTCTTCAACTTATCATTCATGTTTCTGATATTTTTTAGAAAAATTTTCCCCCCTGCTATTATATAAGTTTTTTAACATTACTATGTGCTATTCTGTTATACTTTGCATTGCTTTTATTGCTTATATATTGTGTACTTCCTTTTATATTTCTGAAGGCCTTTACTTCAGTTTATTATGGCAAGCAAGCATTATCTATTATAGCAAGGATACACTTTGCATAGCAAATGAGCCAATTAATGATATGGATGAGAGTGATGACTTATTTTCTAAAGAGTTAGAGAGTGATGTTTCTAGCGATTCTGATACAGCCATTTTGTAAAAAACTGAGCTCACTGAGTGCTCGCTTTTAACTTCCATAAAAGATTTTGTTACTTCTAGTAAATAGTCTTCCTAGCATTTTTTAAAATTGATTGTAAATTTGTTAATGTATTTTTTCAATTAAAATATTAGAACAATTTGAATAGCGCTTCTGTAAATTATCCCTTAAAATAAGCATTTTTTATACATATTTTCATTTAAAGTAAAGAAAAAGATAATTAAATACTAATTTTTATATATATGATAGTTTATGTAATAATCTAAAATGGTACCTTATGAAGTTAATATTTCAACTTTTAATTTTTTTTTCTAAAGTTAGGTTTAGGTATGCAAAATCCCCCATCCATGGGGCGATTCCTTTCGACAGCCATACATTCCGAGGGAAGATCTTAAACAAAGGAGCATCATCTTGAAAGGGTTAAACAGCCGTACAGTCAAATTATTATACAGATTGAAAAAAAGAAATAATATCAAATGGATTTCAGAAAGCACCATAAAAGCATACCATACAATCATGCATAAACCAAAACTCCACATTAGATGGCATTCATATATTACCACCGAACATTTTTCAACAAAATGTTGTTTCCAATGTTAAAAACTCAGACATATCCAATAGGAATGTAAAAACAAAATATACTTTGCTTTCTGTTCAGGTATTCACAATATCAAAGAATGTAATGCAGGAAATCCAATTTGCATCAACAGCTCAGATTTTATTACAGAACATCAAACAATATCTCAACAGCACATCCAGCTTATGTCATTTCCTGTCTCACAGAAGCTACATGGAAATCTACATGTAGAACACGCAGTAGAAAAAGAAACATGCAGTATTAATCAGGAACCATTAATCAAGATAGCTGTACTCGAATTAATTTACAATGTGCAGAAGTCACATCTACATAGTTAGTTGTGCTTATAATTCAATAAAATGTAGATTCTTCTAATTAAAAAACCCTACAGTAGGAAAGTTCAAATCACTAGTTTCTCTCTTGGCAAAAAATATAATACACATCAATTAACTAACAAGCACCAAGAGCCATCATCATCTGCTGTAATCCTTCCTGATCACTTATTAATACCATCATTGAAAAAGACTTTGTTGCCATCTTAATGCAATTTAATTCTTCTCAGCTCATTTTCTGTTCTATCTACTCTTCACCTATGCATGACATCATCATGATTTTAACAGAAGTAGATAAACTCTGCACTAGATGCACATCTCACACGTTCTTAGTAGAGACTTTAATGCACACAACACCATCCGGGGCTGCACTGGTGAAATCCAAAAGAATTCACATCCACAATAATACAATAAATGCACCTCCAATATTTGATAACAACTAGAGAAAAGCCTGGCCAGAACTCTGCCTGCCAGTAATATCAGGCCTGAGTTGTTTCAGATGGCGACAGTTGCTCAGATCGTAAATATGTTCATTATAACATCTGCATAGAGACTTCAAAACAAATCTTCATTAATACAAACTTCTTAATAATAAAATAAAACTACTTACCAGACAGCTCACTGTCACTCTCACCAAAGATCAACTACAAGTGAACAACTGCAATAGCCCAAAAGATTTGGAAATATATACAGAAAACTTACTGAAAATATTAAAATCCAACTGTGATCAAATACTTCCTAAAAGAATACATAAAAACTAAAAGGCATTACTTGGTGGACAAAGGAACTATGGTAGCAAAATCAAAAATGCACAGCATTGTGAAAAAGACTACATGCCACTACAGGCAATGGAAACAAGCATTCTTACTGCCTTCAAAACAGAAAGAGCATAATATCAACAGAACATCTTATCTGCAAAAATCAACAGTCTGCAGCATTAATTCAAATACTTGTGGCATCCTTCATAAACTAACTACACAAAAAAAAATCTACCAAATTCCTGAAACAATCAGCCATGCAAAATATTCCAAGTCTCGCATCCAACACAGTAAGCTTCCTTCTCAGTAAAGTTTTTCCAGAAGATAATCGAGCTAATGACATCTTACAGCAGAAGCTGCTCAGAGAAGGCATAACTGATCTAGCGATTGAAGATGAAATTCCTTTCATAGTTAAAGAACTTCAACAGGTTTTCCGTAATCTTCCATGGAAGAAGATCCATCCCAGACCATTGATGGTTTGGATACCCTGTCATAAAAGATTGCATACAAAGCATGTCTTTTTTTTGTCAATATTTCAGTCATCTCCTCAAACAGAAGCCTTTTCCAAAATCTTTAAAATTAGACCAAGTAGTATCCTTTGTTAAAAAGAAAAAGAACTGCAACTCTTTAATCATTAAAAACAGTCTGCCTACTATCTGCACAGAAAAAAATCACAAAACGCTCCTTAGTTATCAATAGGCTGTACAGCAACAATAAAATAGAAACACAGATCTCCATGCATCATAGATCTCCATAAACCTCAAAAGTGGCTTTAAAACCCTCTGGTGGCCAGCTATAAAGAAAGCAGCTCCAATGTTCGTCAAATCTGTTAAAAATTTTTGACAGTTATCTGACAAATAAAACTTTATTAATACCACACCATAATAGCATAAGCTCCAAAACACATGAAAAAAGTTTGCAAGGATCCGGTGTGGGCCTTTTTCTATGGAATTTAGCATTTAACCCCATCCTCAAATTAAATTGCCCATATAACGTCTACATATTTGTGTATGCTGATGACAATGATATCCTTATCAAAGGAAGTATCATGAAAGAGCTCGAAACTTACAGAACAACTGCATGCATAAAATCTGCATCTCCACGGTCACATTTGAAACTTGAAATATCAATAGAAAGTCAGCAATAATAATAATACCAAGACCAGGTGCGAACCCATCAAGGTGCCCATGGGCATAAAAATCCTCAATAAAATATTAAAATTGCAAAACTACTAAAACATTACGGTCTTACATGGGATACAGAACTTACCTGGATTTCCTGCATTCAAGCTTTTTGACTTGAAACAAAAGCAGTATCTCGCAACATGTGTGGGAACAAAATCCATACATTCAAAAAATCATATATACCACAGCAGCTAAAAAGACAACATTTTAATGCAGCAAAAATATGGGCATAACCAAAGGCAAGGAAGAAATTTCAATACATTTTAATGTTTCAACATCCATTCACCCTGGGCCTATGTAAAGCATGTCGAAAAACTACCATCAACACAATAATAGAAAACTTTAAATGGATTTGTGTTTTGTTCTAACAGGACTGATACCACTTCACATATGAGCTGAACAGGAGGCTGTGTATTCAAGAATCATACTACTAAGATTCTACTACCTTCAACTATATTATGTACAGTACAATACAATATGAACAACCTTTAAAGATCTTACAGACACATTCTGGAGTAAGCTGAAATAGCATTCAGGATAGAAAAGGATCAGACATACACATCCTAATCACCAATATGTAAAGTCATTTTATTATGCAAAAGACACGACACCTATTATTACATTCACAGATGGCTCCAAAACTACTGAAGGAGTTGGCAGTGCTTTTGTACAATTAAAGAGTGAACAAGAATTTTGTGCTTCAAAAGGACATTTCAAAGAACAGAATAGGTGAAGCATTAGCTATGACCACACCCATCCAATACGTAATTAAAATATTACTAGGAAATGCAATTATCTACACCGATACTATGTGTACTTTACTCAAAATATTGAATCACAAGTATATCTTCCCTAACAGTAAATATCCAACACCTTTTAGAACATAATAATCAAGTCTATATACAACTTATATGAATTAAAGGCCATGTATGTTTTATAGGTAACAAAGTAGCATACAGAGTAGCTAAAGAAGCAAGCAGTAATTATGAAGAAAAGAAACTTATTGTCAACACTTTCCTCTCAGCTAAAAAGAATTCTACACAAAAAAAGGTAGTATAACAATGGCAAATAGAATGGGATTTAGGAGAAACTGGCAGATGCACATATAGTTTCATTACTAAAGTCAGCAAAGTTAGACACAGAGACATGTTGGAACTAACTAATTTTATTATGAGACAAGGCCCTTTTCCAAACTGTCTTCATCACTTTTGCATCTCAAATCTCCAAATTAGAGGGCTCACCTGACTATAATGTCTTTCACAGTCCACTTATAGCTATCATCTACCTCAAGCGACCTGCAATGTGGGTTCTTATAATTACAATAAATTTATTATCAAAAACCATGCATCAATTAAGAACATCTGCAATGCTATTTCAGCTACGGGGGAAGATACCTGTGAAACAGAATGGAGAAGTTAATAAAGTTTAGAAGTAATAATTACAACAGAACAAAGGCTAAAGAACTATCCAAAGAATTTTTAATTGGATTCTAAGAATTGTCATAGACATTTAACTATTAAACACAGTAATTAAAATTTTACCACAGGAGCTCATAATAATTATAACGTGCACTTTGAAACATAACTTTAAACATTTTGCTATTAATTTCCTAATAAATTTAGAAGTAAAAGACCTGTTTGCTTGAAAAACTTTAAATGGATTTGTATTTAGTCTAAGCACTTAAGGTATTTTTTAATTTAAATGATGGTAAATTTATAATTTGTGTATACTTTTGATGCTGAATTTAGTTATGAAGTGTAGTTATACTGTTATTTTTATTTAGCTATATTTTATGTGTATTGTGTATCTATCTATATAGTGTATTGTATACATTATATATACACCTTATAGTCATATGTCACATTAAAAAAATATTGCAGATGAGCAGAACCTCTGCTGCCACCTCCATAGTTACATATGACTCTGCGTTTAATTTAATCTCAATACAATATCTTTAGAGACCTCATGAGAGGTGTTAGCACCTCAAGATAGTGGAAGACACAGGATAAATACATACTTACTGCTGTTAGACCTCAGGCATCCTTGTCTTCTGTTACCTGTCCCACCAGTGAACAGTTAAAGACCACTGAAAACTGCAGTGGCTGAACACTTAAAGACCACTGAAAACTGCAGTGGCTGAACAGTTAAAGACCACTGAAAACTGGCAGTTTGTTTAGGTTCAAACCCAGGAGAATGGGCTGGCTGCAGAGCCGGTTTTCTTGTCCCCCCCTCCAATGTATTATGAATACAAGCCAGTTTCTCTGGGAAAGTCCCCCCTGAAGACATTTTACCCCTTAGGTAAACAGCCTTCACATGTTTTGCCATAGTCAAATAACCAATTAACCAAAATGTTTAGCTATTGACTTCCATGTTTTTGTAGCAATAAATACTACTAAAAATTCACTTAGCAAATATTTTACGCCAGAACAGCACTTTTATCTACCATTCAACAATGTCATATGCCATCTTAAATGTTACACTTCTGCATACGTATTTCATTACAAAATCTGCTTATCTTTACAGTCTACTTTCCATTGCAAAATCTATGGGTACTTGGGCTACCACTAACTGTGTTATAGTTTTTGTGATCTGATAAGGATAATGGTTAATAATGCAGGCTGCCATATCTGCAATAGGCCCTGGTTTGAATCCCAGAGAAAGCATGGATGTACGTAAGTGTTTGTGTGGCTGGTGGGTGAAAACTTATCTCGAGTGGTTTGATGGTAGGGGAAGAGGGGCAAGAACCTCAGGTCTACTTCCCTGGACACAGTCCATTAAAATTTGGGTTCAGCTGTATGGTTAATGCAGTCATACAACACCTGTACAACCAACAAGAAATTAGAAATTATTTCAAAGAAATTTAAAAGAAAGAAAAAAATTAAGATTCTTTTCCTCAGATTTACAAAAGCAATATTTATTTACATTTTTCTTTCTAGAAATGTAGCCCATTAATATAAGGAATGCCATATTCAATATGGTTTTATTTTACTTTAAATGTAGCATGCTCAGAATCTTCATTTATAGTATTAATATGATGCACATATCAAGTAAAGATAATAAGATAATTACTTCATCACGATACCAGCTGCTGCTGGAGCACGTTTCAGTTATGCCCATGCAAAAGCAATCAATACATCCTAGAGGAGATTCTGGATTCAGATGGAATGTGCGAGGTTTACACTGATCACAACGAGCTCCAGTGACATATGGCTGAAAAATGAAATGCAATTTTATGAAATAATCAGGTTATTTCATCTTTGAAAACTAAAACAGTTTTAAAATTTGGATAATCTGAAAAACACTGATAAAGACTCTAAACATTATTTGGTAAATGCATCAAATAAAATAGTTATGTTGCAGACAAAGACTATAATAATAAGAATGTAGCATTATTATTATTATATAAAGCAGCATATCATATTAGCTTAACAGACCAGAGTGTTCATTATGATTCATTTACAGATTCCAAAATAATAGCTGAGCTAGGATTTTGACACTCTAAATTTTGATACCATGTAAGGTCTCAGGCAAATCCAAAATACTTAATAAATCTAAGTTTGTCTCCAAATATTTTAAGCAACCAGTTTTTTTCCAGGTCATTAAATATTAAATTTGCTTATTTATGTAAAGTAAGGGAACATTTTTGATATAGAATAGTTTTATGATTCAACAAATCTGAAAGATTGCATTTTTTTTTTTTTATTTTATACAAAATTTTCAAACTTAACAATATGTTAACCTATAATTAAACCAACATTTATGTGAATAGATAAGGGATGATATTCAGGGCTGTCAAATGTTAACCTGAAACATCATAAACTGAATAATATTATGCATAGTCCGGGTATATCTAAATCATTTCTTAACCTTATAAAATTTTTAAAACTAAATATTCCTTTCTATTATGAGATATATTAACATGATTAATATTGATTAATTAACTAGGATTTAGGACTACAATTATTAACAAACTAAATCCAGGATTTAGACTTGATAAGGTCCCAAGCTATTTGAAATATGGGGCCCTTTATAAGTCCAGATATTATATGTCAGTGCCCCATATGATTTTTGGGTACCTACAGGGTTTTTTGGGGCTCACAAAGAAAGTGGGGGCCCTAGGCTATAGCTTATGTAGCTTATATGTAAATCCTGCACTGACTAAATCTAAACAAAAGATGTGTTATAGATCCAGTACCATGTTAGACATATGAAGGTCCTTAATCTAAACCTTAATTTTTCTAATCTGTACAGCTAATCCTTTTCTTACAGTAAGATTATGACATTCAATTGAAAAATCAAAGACATAAATCCACAGATATATTTATCCTTCTTACAATTCTAGATGTTTCAATTTTGTTGTCTTTAAGAAAAAACATTCTACTGTTTGTTTCTAATTTTTACAAAATTCTATAGTTCTTTAAAAAAATGCAAAACATTACAATCAAAATTTACCACAAATTTTATTTTAGCCAAAATATCTTTTGCACACATGTGATATCTTTCCCAAATTCCTAGAAGAAAATAACCTGATGTGTTAAGTAAGTAATGCATTCCTTAAATCTTTATGTAACCTGAAATTTACATTAAGTCAAACTTGCAAATTGCTTAAATACATAAAAAAATCTTTAGTATTTATTATTATTACATGTATGTAATAAAGCAAGCTTAACAATAATGATTTTGTAGAAATATTGATGGCATAGATATGTAGAATGTTGATGACATAGAAAGTAGATCCAAAATGAATAGCAAGCATTTTGATTGTGTAGAAATGTCGGTCCATAACAAACAGGAAACTGGCAGCCCAGACAGATTAAATATTCATCTCTATTTCAGTTACCATGTTGTGACCACAAACAACTTGACACACTAGTTGTGCTTATTTCAGAATGTTTACATTTTTGATAGTTTTTGCAGAAAAAGATAGCAGCAGTCCATCTATGCCAAAGTGTAGAAAGCAAACATGTTGTGTTCAGGATTAAATCATAATTCAGACTGCGTTGGTTTTGGTTCTCAATGGATTTTGAGTAGATAATTAATAATGCTTATTGGCTATTTAAGTTCCATTTACATCATCAGTGTTATTGAAGAGTCATATGATATGGATTAATCTCGAAATGACACACTACAGAAAAAAATCACCACTTCTAGAACAGAGAGAGGAAACACTAAACCAAGTACCAAGAAGCCCTACCAATTCAAACCACAGTTCGTCTTTCACACTTTTTTTTATCTTACATGTATATATATTTTATACAGTATTATTTTATAAATAAAATATCATGAAGAAGTATTTATTCGGATATAAACTATTAAAGTATGAAGATGATATAAAATAATATGAAAACAAACTGAAATAATTCTTTTCAAATAAAACAATGTCTCATGAAGATAATTTGGCTCAGTAGAGAAAGAGTCAGCACTTGAGAGGTATGGGTTGAGAACAGAAATTCTGTTCTTTGGCAACTTCTCAATCTTTTGTTATGATGAGACAGTCAGTATCTTATGAGTTGTTTTCTCAACATATGAGCAGCATCTCAACACATGGCTATAGTAAGCTGTACTATCATATGATATTGTAGAAGGCCTTATAGCATCAGAATGGATAGCATTTTCAAAACCTTAGTGTTCGGATTCATCGATTTTATATTTGCTATCTGGTTACTCTGTCTATGACATTAAAAGCCTCAAATAGTCCCTTTATACAAAATGTTTTAATGTCTGGAGTTAGAAATTCAACCAGCATAGTATTTGGAATTTCAGAACAGTCCATATTTCTATTTGGAAGGTTTCAGTTTAAATTATTACAGCTTTTGCACACTTAATATAACCAAATTTATTTATTTGAGGAATTACTGTAATTTTCAGTGACATGCTATTGTTATTTGCAGAAAATGAAATCACTTTCTCAGTATATAACAGGTAGTGTGATATATAGAGCCTGAAATTAGTGAAAAACCAAAGAAATAATTTAACATTTATTAAAATACTGAACACTGAGATTTTGCTACTGTGATGGATAGATAGTATTCTTTCTCTCTCTCTCTCAATGTATATATATATAGAGAGAGAGAGAGAGAGATTCACACATATATACCATATGAATGTATGAGAAAGGCTAAATTTGGTACAATGTTATGTATGCAATGCTTTTCTTGTAAAGAAATAGCAAATTAATGTACTGAACATGGTTGTTTTGCTTGAAAATTTGAAAATAGGAATACTAATGTTACTATATTAACTTTTACTTTTGACATTAAATATGGATCTGGTACTACAATAAAATTCTGATACAAATAAAGATAATGCTAATATTCTGGTAAATACAGAATTTGCTTAAATATTCTTTGAACACTTTCAGTAATGTAAAGTACAATTTAAGAAAATTCCTTCCCATATTCTTGAAATAAAAAATAGGAAATTTTCATTATAATATCTACAAAATATGTAATTACTTCATCATTTGTATTGTTTTCATTAAATCATAGCTCTGAATATGTTATTAACTTTAACATGGTTCTGACTATAACAGGCAATTAATTTAACATACTATTACAGTTCAATACATGACTAATTTAATACGATTAGATACAAGATCAATTTGATGTGATTCTGACAACATTTAAAAAAATTGATAAAAAGTACAACTGAATTAATTAATTATGGTGAAGCATATAAAGATTATCCACCTAATTTCTGCTCATTTCCTTCACTACGTACGTATGTTATACCTATCTTAATAAAAGTATTTATGAAATTCATAAGCGAAAGACACAACAAACATATAACATTACAAAATTACAATTTAACTAATTTTCATATAAAAAATATATAAATTTTCATAAACATACCTTACATTGACAAAGTCCAGTTGTTCGACTAGGATCGGGAGTTAAACTTCCCACTGGGTCACACTGCAGACCACCTGTAAAAAAAAGAGTCCATTATCTTAAATTACAGATTTTATAAAACTAGATCAATGTTTCCTGAACTTTTTAGACATATAACCTACATTCACATAGTTCAGACTTTTCATGAACTACATGCTTAAAAAAAGAGGAAATGTAATTATAACTAAACAATATAATAATTAAATTCATCCTTAGAGGTAAATAAATATATTTACTTATACAATATGAGAAACAGGATTTTAAAACTTTTCACAATCCACTAAAAGTTCTTTTGTAAGACATTGGCGGGTCATAATCCACGTTTTGGAACCAATCAGCTGCATTATTTACATCATATGAGCAGAAAATTACAAACAGATAATTTTAAAGTAAAAATTCATACCACGAACTCTACAACTTCCACCAGGTATATTAGGATTGCCATCATAACCTGGTCCACACCTCTCACAGCGCCTTCCCTCATATCCAATAGGACATGCATCACATGTTACTTGGTCATCCTTGTCTAGGATACATGTAGGTGAAAACCTAAAAATCATCAGTTTTTATGCTTTCTCACTTCATTACACTTTTCTCTAACATGAAATAGCATATTTTAAAAAGCAAATAAATAAATTATAGCAAATTATCAGTTTTTTATTTTCTCACTTTAAAATTAAGCATTAGGCTTTCTTATGCTACTAATATGCATTACATTTATTACACTAGTATTATAGACATGTAAGAGTTACTTAAGGATGCTAATGAGCACTCCTAAACCAAAGAAATGGTAACTGCCATGTATCACGAATACATGCAAAAATCACGAAACAGCAAAAGCTTCGTCTTGAGCAGAACATATTCACAAATTACATATGCATTTAGCTTTGCAGAAAATTAGGTTAAGGCTTCTGCAAAATAATTATTTCAGATACACCTCAATGAATATGTTTTTCTCTACTTGGAAATAAAAATTTTTTAAAAAAATTGAAAGTGAAAAATGATTTTAAAAACTCTTGTAAGTGAAATTATAGCTTCTTTCCTCAAAAAGAAGGAAAACAGATTCTTGGTTTTTGCATACTGCTAAATAACACTACCGGGGGGGGGGGGAATGTGAAGAGCCTATCAAAACTATTTCTTTAATCAGATTGACAGCAAACAAAATCAAGAAAAAATGACGTTGGTGGGGAGGAAATAATTTAAACACATTTAATGCAAATTACAGTTAGATGAAAAAATAAATAAATTAATTAATTAATTAATTAAACAAAATACTTTAAAATTAATTTCCTAAATTTAAACTTGGATCTTGGTCCATGCCTTTTAACATTTAAAATTAAAATTAAACCATATTTTTTAGAAAGATCAAAAACTTAAAAAATGGTAAAATAAGTAAACTGAGGTAACAAAACAAATTACTACCTAAAAGCAATTTGAATGTTACCTTAACACAAGTATTTTATATGTATGTCTAAAAGACAGCATAATTTTTCTTTTAAAAGGATCCTAAAATAAATACAGTGCAATTTTAGGGCCCTGTTTGTCAATTTTTAAATTAAGAAAATCTTTAGGCCTATAAAATTATAAAAATTTTTTAGACATTATTTTCTTAAGTATAAAATAAAACAAAAATAATTTCATTACGTAATATTTCAAAGTCTGAAGATTTTATAGAAATATTCAGTATGTACAAATTTTAAGATATTATATATATAAAGAACTTTAAATAATTTATAGTTAATTAAAAATTTTCAAGCAATTAAAGTAATTGTTTTAAAATGGCAAAGCTAAGCAAAAAATAATTTCTTGTTGTCCAAATGAAAGAATAATATTTAACATGAGATAAAATGAAGATGAATTAAATTTATTCATGGTGGAACAAATTAAATATAAAAGTATTCTGAACACAGATTACACTAGTGTAAATGATTGAAATTCAGATAAGAAAAATCAAATGCTTCAAACAATAAAATTTACTACAAATTTAATAAAATAAAGTTGGAGCAGAAACAGAAAACTTTTGAAACAGAAAACACAAAAAATCAGCAAGGAAATTTTTAATTTGAACTCTGGTTCTTCTGAATGCACACCAGTTGTGTTACTAATTACACCACAAAGGTATACAATTAAAAAATTGTTTACATTCTCATCCACTTAATGGGTTCCTCAGGAGCGAGGAAAACTAGTTGCCAAATTCAGATAGTGATGAATTATTATCAACATTTTAATAGAGCACTACATGTAAAGCTATTTTATTTTTGAGCATTCAGTTGCCCTCACCAGGATTAGAATTCTAGGCCTGCCAGCTGGATGTGCTACCAGTTGTACCACATAGGCACATAGTGGAAAACTCGTAATCTTTCATTAAAATTATACAAGCTGTTACGTATTACAGATTAACCCTTTGACCCCTGAAACCACCAATTTTCGAATTTTTTTCTTATCTTCTTTCCGAAATTTTTGAGTGAAAATCAATTGATTACTGATCTTTTACTTCTAAATAACACAAAATGACTGCAGAATCATACATGTTTTAGGTCTTAGTACTTCAAATCGGATGCCTTTTTAAAATTCATTTTCAGTGAGACAAAATAACTTTCTTTTATTAATATAAACAACTTTAAATTTCAAAAGTTATTCATCGCACATCATGATTTCTATCATAAGCAATAAAAAACAGCAATAATTAAACTGCGGGTATAAAAAAAAAAACCTCTATATGTATGGCATTTGCTTTGTGGTTTCATGGCACTACAACTGCACCACTAGAGCATTGTGTCACAATGATCTCTCTAGAGCAGGGATGTCAAACTCATAGGTACACTTGGGCCAAACAAAACAAGGTTTAACTTTAGGCGGGCCGCAAAAAAAAAAAAAAAAAAAAAAAAATCAATATTCATAGAAACGTAGATTTCTTTCGAATAATAAAATAATAAACTATATATATATTTATATAGAAAAGAACAAGAAAAATTTAATGTTTACATCCTGATACTTGACATCTCTTCTCTGCTATTATCTTTCCTATTTCGGGAGAAATTTTGTTTGCAGTGATAACTTTCAACGCTGACTTAAGGTGAGCATCATTAATATGGTTTCTAATAAGAGACTTATTACCTTTCATGACTGAAAATAACTGCTCGCACCGATAAGTGCTACCAAACATGGAAATAATTTCATATGCGAATTTTCGAGTATTTTCAAACCTATAATTTAAATAACTATGAAATCCGTAACAATATGAAATACCTTTAAATAACTATGAAATCCGTAACAATATGAATTAAGTAATAATTAATAATAAAGCAAAGTGCATGCACATGCATGCACCAATATATCGTACAAAACTATGATTGGAAAACTGAGACCATGAGTTCGGCCACATTCGGCTATCGGGGATGCGTACAAGTTCTGAGTGCACGTGTCCCCCAAATGCCGAAGGTAGCTGAACGCAAGCTGCTCACACGCATTTGTAATTTAAGTAGTGTGTGTGTCAGCTCGCTGTGAGTAATCTAACAACACTGAATTAATTATCGTTAATTACTTAGCAGTAAACATTTCATTTTTTTCTTCATTGATATGTTATTTTATTATTATATATTATTATTTGCCGATATATTGATTGGGCCGCAAAAATATTTGTTGTGGGCCACGAGTTTGACATCCTTGCTCTAGAGGCTCAGTGGTCGTGCCTTGAAACCACTGCTCTTCACAATGGTGTTTGCATGCTTTTCAAATAGGAATGTTTATTTTTACCTCGATATAGAGAAGGGGCTCTGAAACCACAGAATTATTTTATTACTAAACAATACACACACTTGCCCAGTAAAAAAGGTCTTTCTTTTCCAGAGACTTTTCTCTGACCTCAACACACTTGCTCTCCAAGCTAGTATTGTATTGTGATTTTATAAATTATTTCCTGTGGTTTAAATTTAATGTAAATATACTTTGCTATAATGAAAAATAGAAATCGCGTAAAGTTTCATTTAAATTTAAAATATTTTCTGAATATTTTGGGATGAAATACAAATAAAATAAGTATATGAATGGGAAACAAATGATCTGTACCAAAGCCAAAAAGACCAAGCCAACCCCCCCCCCCATTAACATAAGGCACCACAAATTTCATGAAACTATTAAATAACGCTGGTCATATAACAGTGAAATTTAGATTAAGGCAGTGTACATTTTGTAGCACAAGGAACAAACCTCATAGAAGAAGATACACTGAGACATACTGAAAAAACACAGAGTCTTTTTTTTTATCCTTATTTTACTGAGTTTTTTTTTTTTTTTTTTTTTTTTATCTATTTAGACAAGCGCCCTTATTATGTAGGTACTTATATTTTCACTGGGATAGAAAAATTACATAAATGTTTAAAATTTTTTCTACACAGTGCGACCACCACCCACAGAACAATGGGTAAAAATAGATTTTTTTTAATTCATGTATTATTTTTCTCTAGGATCATAACATTCAATTTCTAGAGTTTTTAGTTAAAAAAATTATAAAAATAATATCACCACGTCAAAGGGTTAAATGATTACTTAAGAATTACTTTTATTTTTTCCAGGAAAAAAAGTTAAAATATATTGCTGTAAAATTTTAAAATAAAGAAATTTAACTTTTTTTAAAAAAAATTTTGATTTTAAAATAAATTATACCTAGACCTTTTGCAAAAGATGATTCCAGACTTTCTAACTTTTGGTAGTTATAAAGAATTATATTTTGCATTAATAATTTTCAGATGTTGGAATTGTCATGATAATAAAGACAAAAGACATTTGTAAGAATGATAAATGCCAAGTTACCCTCCCCTCCCCGGTACAGATTTTTAATTATTACATATCGTTGCATATGAAAAGAAATAAATAAAAAAATAATTAAAATTTCATATATAAACTATTAGTGAGAATTATTTTCTTTAATATATTAATCTATGGATCATATAGTTCTCATAGCAACAAAAACAATACTGAAAGTCAATATTAAATTGCATCAATATGTTTTAGATCCCCTTCCTTCCAAAAAAAGATGGCCATTTTAAAATGATAATTTTATCAACCTCAAATAATGACTCAGTCATAGCTGATTTTAAAAATATGATGTACAATACAAAATAAAATGGTAATGTAGTTACCATAAACATTTAAAAAAAGTACTGTGGAAAAATAGTAAATACTAAGGAAAATTAAGAAAGGGCAAGGTGAACATATAGAAAAAGAATTTTAGGTGAACAGACAGAAGAGTTTTTAACAAAATAAGCTAACTGGTCATTTCCAGAACACTCAATAATATTGAAAATGTCAAAACAACTACAGTGTTTATTTTTGTGATAATGAAGATTTCATATTCATTCTGAAATACACAAAATATATAAAGCTCATTTTAAATGATTAAAAATATAATACAGACTTAGACATCAGAACAACAATTATACACATGCAATTCTGTTTATTGCACATAAAGTATGACTTTTTCCTGCTTTTCATATGGAATAATATTAAATTTTGAGTTTAAAAAGATTCATCATGAGCATTTATTCTGC